TATTTTCGGCTTGTTTCGTTTCGTGATCCCCCTGTCTTCGTCTGTCTCCTGCTCTGGTTTTCGGGTTTTGCTTGCGTTTTCTGCCTTGGTTTTTCGCTCAAACCCCTTCCTGGTTCTTCCCCCTCGTTTTTTAGTTTTTTTTTCCTTCCCCGTTTGATATCTGTGTTTATAGTGTCAAAATCTCTACACGTATAGAAAACTAATTATCAATCAATCTCATTCTCTCGTTTAAAATTTAAATTTAATTAAAAAAATTTAAAAACAAATAACTATTATTATCTTAAAAATTAGAATTATCTCAAATATAAAGATTATTAGAAATTATCTTGAAAATAAAAATAAAATAATAAAAGCATATTATAGTCTTTAATTTTCATGAAAGTTGACAAATTATATTTTTTATCGAAATAAATCTTTAATTTTTTAATTTTTTATTTTAAATTCTATAAAAATGAAATTAAAAGCTAAAGAAACAAAATTATATTATGAATATATATATATATATATAAAGCTAGTAAAAGTCGTGAACACTGTCATGGCCGAAATCAAAACACGTCCTTTTTTATTTTTCTTGAAAACAGAAAAACCACCACGTAATTTTGAAGCCATAACATAGATCAGTTTTTTCACAAAGTAAAGCAAAACGAGAGATCATAGAGATGCAGCCCACAGTATATACTGGTATGTCTTGTGTTTATATTTAGTTGGGGTTGCAAATTATCCTGAAGAACATTTTATTTTTTTATCCACTTAAACTGGGAGCGAGTTAAGAACATTAACACTAAACACAAGTAACATAGGCCTAGACATCATTATAAGCTGCTCTTACAATACCTGTTCAATAGCTAACAGGATAGCTTGTACATGCAATTGAGCAGTCGATAAAAACCCAGCAAGAGAAAGACATCAAGCATAAAAATGCCATTATTGAGTTGGCCTAAAGAACATTATCATGTCCTAAAACCCCAATTCTCATCATTGATAAAGTTTTGAAATGCATACCCTAGATAAGCTGCCAAAAATTTTGAGGCTAACTAGAACCCAGGATTATGCAGTAGAGTGGCCATTTTCTCCAATTACCATTCATGCTTATCCAATGCTTTCTTCCCTAATTAAGCCCTTCGAAGGAAGCCACGCCTTTCAATATTAGTTGACCCGTCATTTCTTCCCAAATGAGGGCGTACTCTATAATAGCTTCACTGGTATTTAAAACCATAATCCAGTGCCATCCCGTCAGGTTTCAACATCTGAAAAGCCAACCCATTTCACTTCATAGTCCAGATAATAAAATAAGATAAAGAATTTGATCACAATTTATCTTGAATATATATAATTTGTTTTCGTAACAGCACATATAGAATTCATTGCATGTAATTTGTTTTCTTAATACTTACAAAAAGAAGACTAACATCTTAAAGCATATGTTTAGTATCCACATTTAGCGACAGGTAAGAAATCAGAAGAGATTATATGAAATCAAAACAAGTGTGTTCAGAATCAAATCTAATTATACTATATAATAGCTTACCGGTTGTTGTTTCTAGTGGAGTCGCTGCTAGTGGTGGTGGAGTCGTTGTTGCTGCTGATTGCCATGGTGGTGATGAATTCTGGGTGGCGAGAATAGAGAATGGAGCAGGAGAAAAACAACATATATAAAAGATAGGGCCAAAACAAGAGTAAAAATTATATACATGATTTAATTGTTATTTAATAAAAAGTGCAAGTTCATTTTTGTCAGAAAAAAATTCATCAACTTGAAGAAAAGATGGAGAAGCATGTTGTGCCCTTTGTAGAGTTTGGTTTGTCTGCGGTTTTGATTGTTTTTAAATAATTTTTTATATTATAATATATATATTAATATTATTTTTTTTATTTTTTAAAAATTATTATTAATATCAACAAATCAAAATAATTAAAAAATTAAAAAATTAAATTTTTTCAATTTTTTTTTTGAAATGCCAGAAATAAATAGGAATGGGTGGAAAAATTTGAAAGCTATATTATGAAAAAAAAAATCAGATTTTTTTATCTAATTTGTAAAAATATAACATTTGAACACAAACTTCGGCTGCCATGTTCTAAAACTCCGTTACTAAACAAACCCTAGAGTTCTCATGTACGGTTGACTTTGCTAGAGTAACATTTTGGTTGATTTTTAATTGTTGTCGATAAAATTATAATTAAAAAAAAAATTAAGGGTGGTCGGTGAAATGTAGTGGAATAAGCGTCTCTACACATTGAATTGCTAAAGTGTAAAGCCAAGAAAGTTAAAAACTTGGATTAATTGACAACTTAAATAAGGGTTAATCCATGTCTTCATTTTTTTTCCAAATTAAAAATATTAATTTATCCTTCCATCAAGAAAAAATTAATTGTGGGTAGGGGTGTTTTTTATTTTTTTACTTTTTTACACTATACAATTACTTAAATACCTATTGAATTTTATTTTCCTAAACTTCTATTTAGGGTTTTTCGATGGAGTTTTTTTTAATTGTCAAATAGGATTATGAGCAATTAGACCTTTTAACATATATAAAATATATTTTAAAATAAAAAATAATTAACACATATAAAATATATGTCGATGAGTGAATAGAATCCATCCTTTTAAATATTGTAAGCTTTTCTAGTGTTCAAACACCCCTCTTCACATCTATATTAAAAGCAATGTATCAAGATTTTTCTGATAATATGATGTATATTGGTGGCAAATCAATAATATGGATTCAATAAAAAAAAATTCTTTGTCTTATTTTCTTTTTTTTCATCCTTTGTAAAATAGAAAAGTTTACTTTTGTTTGTATTTTATTTACAATTTAATCCTTATTTTTTTTACTATTACTTTGTTTTTTTATCTTTTGTAGGTTAATTGTTTTTTCAATTTCATTGCTAATAATTTGATTTTATTTATTTTTAATATCAAATTTATTTTTTATTCTTTTAATTGTTATTTATTTATCCATATATCTATCATTTTTCATAATTGAATCTTGTTTTCAATTTTATTTTTTGACATTTAATTTCAATTTATTTTCATGTCAAATGTAGTCCCTTTTATTTTTTATTTATTTTAATTTTATCTTTTGTTATTTTATGTTTGAAAATTTTTTTTATTGTTTTTTAGAGTTTGTCTTGTATAGGATTAACCTCGAGCTCGTGACTAGGATATTTCAAATATTAACACGAGTTTACTTCAAATGCTTTTTAGGTTTTTTATTATTATTTTTTCAATCTCATCTTTTAATATTTTATTTATCGAGAATTAATATTCATGCTCTCTTTTCTCACTTTCTAATTTGATCTAACTTATGGCAAAGCGCAGAACACTTAGGGAGTTAATATTAATTAACAAACCATTAAATGATGTAGTAAAGTGAATACTCGAAAGTATAGTAGTTTTTTGTTTTGTGTACATTTTAAAAATATTTATTAATTGACAAATACTTTCAAAAACATACCCCCTGTCAAAATATCAATCGCACATCAAATCATCATGGTTACACCCACAAATACTATGTAATAGTATTTTATGAATATATATTTTTTGTTTAGCCCTTTGACAACTTCGTTTTTTTCTTTTTTGTTTTTTAATTTTATCAATTAATGTTATGTTGTCCTGATGATTGTTCCTGGCAATTTTTTTTTTTATTATTTCCTTCATGATGGGTTATATATCAATATCATAAATTTAGTTTTTTAAAAAAATAATTTCAATCTTTAACATTAGATATTTTAAAAATGAGTATTTGTATTTTTTTTAGTTTACATTTTATAATTCTATCTTGGTCATGCTACCCAGGTACTGAATTAAATAAGTTAATCCAAATAGATTCAAGTTTTTTAGGCTATTTTTTCTATTTTTTATTTCATTATTCAATACTGAATTGATTGAAAATTGAACTTCATGATTTTTTAGTTTTACTTTATACGAGACTATCTCAATTCCATCATCTAAAATGTGAGTTTAGTAAGTTGATTTGATTTTTTTTATCCATTTTAATTAATTTTTTAATTAATTCCCCTAACAACTCCGTCTTTTTGGCTTGGTTCATTTTTTATCTATTTTTAATTGAATATTATTTTTCAATTTAAACCTTCAATAACTTGATCTTCTTCTTGTTCTTTTTTCAGTTTTTTTTTTCAATCTCATTTTTCAATATTAGTTTTTTTAGGAACCAAACTTTATAATTTGTTTTTTCAATTTGCTTTATATGAAGTTATTCAGATCATATGAATTTTTTTTTCACCTTCAACACTAGGTTTGTTGGAAATAGAGCTCTGTAATTTTTTAATTTTTTTATGAGACTATCTTGATCTCGCAACCTAGATCATGGATTTAATAAGCTTGTTTAAGTTAATTTGAGTTGTATTTTTTTTTTATTTTTTAACTATTTTTTTTTTGTTTTTTTCATGGGACTATTATAATCTTATGATAGATATGGTAAAGTTAACCTGAGTTAATATGAATTGTTTTTATTTTTTTTTATTTA